CGTTAAACGACGATACGTACATACATACGTACCTTTGTGCATACCTACACATCTACATATGTGTGTCCAAAAAACCGAATTTTTGAAACTGAAATTTGGCAGCACACAAGTGATATCGTCGAATTAATGCTGGTTTTCGACATTAAACATTGTGTTTAACTAAAATTTTGTACGTCTACTTAAAATACCAAATTGCATAACACATTCAAATGCATATGTATGTATATGTATTAGTCCAAAAAGATAGTACTTTAAGTTTGTAATGTGAGATTTGATAATAAAAGAAAATAAATACTACTGGTCCAAAAGCCAGTGCCGAATACTCGAGTACATTTCAGGCGAAACACTGGGCTTTCTACTCAGAATGTAAAATCTAATTTGGTGCTTCAATTCCATTAATATGTAGAAATAAATCTGCATGATTGCAGGTCTTTTTAACCGACTTCCAAAAAAGGAGGAGGTTATCAGTTCGTCGGAATATTTTTTTTTTTTTTTTTTTTTATGTACATACATACGATCAGCGGATCATGATATATATATATATATATATATTTTTTTTATATGGGAGTTGAAGTCGGTTTTTTTTTTGCTAAAAATTACTAGTTTTACTTAAGGTTGGCCACATTTTTAACAGTGCTATTTATCAAGAGCAGACTCCTTTCGGGCTGGCTCGTCGACCAATTTGTTGTCATGCTGCGCTCCGACACCAGATAAGGAGACCTACATACATACATATATACATATACACTTATATCCTTTTGTGTATTTCTATTTACATACATATGTACATCTCTATTTTAAGCCACTCACAATTTAATTAACTTCCTGCGTGCTTAGGTATCGATTTCAAACAGAAACTCATCAACTTGGATGGAGTGCCAATAAAGCTACAAATTTGGGATACAGCAGGACAAGAAAGATTTCGAACGCTAACCACAGCTTATTATCGCGGAGCAATGGGCATACTACTGATGTATGATGTGACGAACTTGGAGAGTTACAATAACCTGTCATATTGGCTGCGAAATATTCAAGAGGTATTTCATAAATATGTTATATTCATATAAACATATAAGAGCACTGCACGATTACGTTGCACATCGCACGATTGTATGTACATACTGTTGAAACTTACTCGCCTTATTATTGCCACAGTGCGATTATAAATCAGATACATTTGGAGATTTCTCTTTCATACATATATATCTATTGCATAAAGTTTAAGATTTCAAATTCAGTTAATTTAAACATAAATGGATTCATGGATTAGGGAAGAAAAATTAAAACTTAATAAGCAAATTAAAGATAACTAGTTTTTGGAACTAAATTTTGTGATTTTAATTAGTTTAGAAAGTATGTATGGCACAAATAATGTGTCAGGCTGTTTGCTTCCTGAACAATTACTAAACAAGTATCTAATAGCCAGCGATGTCGCGATAGCAAAGCAAATGGTGTGTACTCGCCGCATAGGATATGGTGATTATTAAATATATAAATAATTACGTACTCGTACAATGCTCTAATACAAACATATGAATGTATGTATGTATAAATTTTTATAATTTAACAACAAATTACTAAATTGCGTTGATTTATATGCGTAGAACGCGTCACCGGATGTTGTCAAAGTCTTGGTTGGCAACAAATGCGAATGTTCGGCAACGCAGCGAGCGGTTGAAAAAGAAAGAGGCGAAAAAGTGAGTTCAAATGGCAAATTAAATAAAAGTTAATTATGTAATACATACCTATTTCATTCAGTAATCCAGTTGCATAAGAATGTCTATTTGAAATGTATTAATTTAATTATTTCACACACAGATTGCTGAAAACTTCGATATGCCATTCTTTGAGGTATCCTGCAAATGCAACATAAACATTGAGGAGGCTTTTCTAGCATTGGCAAGAAAAATCCGAGAACAGCGCGAACGCCGGGTAACTCTATACATATAATGTTTTACCCACATTTACATAATTCTCTAAAAAAAAAATTGTTTATACCTACTCGTCTTTATTTCAGGGTGATAATTTTGATAACGACGAAAAGACACAAGACAAAAAATCGCCCGGTTCCAACGGCTTAGGTACATTCAGCTTGGCCAGCTTGTCCGAAGGCAATCGTTGCTCCTGCTAAGCCGAACGGAAATATTCCACATACTCCTAAGGAACAATACGTCCAATAGAGTGCTATAGTGGAATACTTCCATGCATACATACAAACATATGTATGTATATGTACGCCTAAGTATACAAGTACATACCACTGGGCGGGCAAGTGCATTCAGTGT